TTAAACAGTATGCGGCTCTATTACCGACTTCTGTTCATGATGTCGACAATTATTCACTAATTGTGATCTTCTGGCATTATGTGATTTGCGTACTCCATTTTATTCCTAGTAAATGGAAAACGGTTTTGCTGAAAACTTTAGAATGCCAGCTTAAAAATAACGCGTATCTCTTTTTTCCACAACCAGAAGTCTCAAGGATTCTAAACGTTGTGCGCTGTTGAGTTTGTCCTCTTTTTGGTAAGAACAAAATCCGTTTTCACCCAGCTCGTTTTCATTTGTTCTCTTTTGCAAAAGGCAAGCAGTAATGAAGCTTGTGAAATTCCTAATGTAGTTTTTTACATACCCAATATTTTTTAGATTGGCGACTGTCTTCCACAGTAGCATCTTCGTATTTAGGGAGACATTCTTCTTCTTCACCCAGGGTCCGAGGGCGGCGAGACCCTTCTGCATTCTTTCGTTCTGTCTCTTCATCCGAGGCACATTAGCGATAGCGTTTACGAACCTCCAAAGCTGTAATTAGAAATAAACAGTTTTGTTTGATATTCCACTACGCAGTTTCGGTCCAGTACCGCTTTGTTTGCTCATCTATGACACCCTTTATTTAAATATAAAAGTTGAAGAAGGCGTAATTTTATATCAAAAGAGTACAAGAAAGAATGTTTTCGTGCATGATTTACATAAAATATACTTGAATTAATGAAGGTAGTCAAAATCAATTATTAAAACGCATACTAATTAAGTAGCTACGTTTTACAGTACATACTTTTTGGTAGCGGGCAGAAAGAAGCTCGTTAGAAAGCCGGCATCCTATTTTTACCGAGCATTTAATAGTTTTAAGCAAGTCATTTTTGCAATCTGTTCACTTAGTCGTAAAAGACTGAAGTTTACCCTTGGGATTATGCGTACCAAAAAAATGGTCTAAAGTCGCATCTCGAGACTTGTGAGCACATACTACCCTTATAAAAATATTCGCCTTATTTGATACTGCGTTTGGATCGTGCGCTGTACTGATTAAATAGTTTATGTCAGTCTCTAGACAAGTGGGTGTTTTGGTAGATGTCGTAGACTGTCCTGGTCCTGGGCTTGACATAAAATAGACGAACGTCCCCGTACATTGTCTGCGCAGGAGAATCAGTCACGTGGGAAGGGCCCGGCCCAGCAAAAACTCCGACGACAGCGAACTTAATTGTCGCGCAATTATCAAGCCCGCATCTGACACAAACTACGAAATCGCGGCCATTAATGGCTCAAAAGCGAACTGCCAAACCATCATCGCACAGCTTACGACCCCAAGCTGTGGTCACCGGAGCTGATAAT